CCGCCCTCCCCAGCCACCATGTTCAACCAGCTCCAGCAGCAGCAGCTCCAGCAGCACCTGCAACAGCAGCAGCAGCAGTTGCTGCAGCTCCAGCAGCTGCTCCAGCAGGCCCCACCGCAGGCCCCACTGCCCATGGCCATCAGCCGGTGAGTACCCCCGACTTCCCCCCCCAGGAGGGGTGGGTGGCTCCAGCCCTGCCGCTCGGATCCAGGCCTTGGAGACCCCCTTCCCACCCCTTTCTCCCAGGAGCATGACTGTTTAAGTCCCGCAGGTCATCAGTTCCCGCCCCAAAAGGGGCAGAAGATGGATGGGAGGAGTCTCAAGAAAGAGGGAGGAAGGGCCTGCCTCTCCCAGTAACCCCTGACACCCACTCTCTCCATGCACAGGGGGCTCCCCCAGCAGCAGCCACAGCAGCAGCTCCTGAATCTGCAGGGCACCAACCCGGCCTCCCTCCTCAATGGCTCGGTGCTACAGAGAGCTTTGCTCTTGCAGCAGTTGCAAGGTATGGCCGCAGGCCCACCTCACCCCGCCTTAGAGGCAGCTTCCCAGCAGCCCCATCACATTGCATCTCACAGGAACCCTGAGAGGGAGCTACTGTCAGCGCCCTAATTTACAGATGAGGGCACTGAGGCTCCAGGGGGTACACATCCCTGGGTTGCTCAGCTGCACGCGGGCCTCTCTGATCACAGACACATGCCCTTGGCCATGGTGCTGGCCCCGTGGCCAGCGCTCAGCACACATCACTGACGTTCAGATTAGATGAGACGCCAGATGGAAAGATCTGTGTTCACCACTCTCCTCCACAACCCATTTGACAGATGAGGAAGCTGAAGTCCAGAGAAGGGAAGTCATTTGCCCTAGGTCACACAGCACCAGCAGTGGCTGAGCTAGACCAGGGCCTGGGCCTCCTGACCCCACTGGATCTCTGAGTGGGTGCTTTAAGCCTGTGCCCTTGCCTCAGTTTCCCCGTGTGGAGGGCAGTCTCTCAGTTCTTCTTTCCAAGAGCTCAGCCCCTGTGTGAGTAATCCAGGGGCCCAGTGACCTGGGGCCAGCTCAGGTTCAGACCCAGCCCCTCCCACAGGGTAGGTGTGACTTGCTAGGCTGGACACTGTTGTGTTGAAGCCTTTACAAACCCAATTTCTTGACTGCTCACAACCTCAAGGAGAGATACACTCATGATCCCATTTTGCAGATGAAAAAACTGAGGCCCAGAGAGGGGTCGTGTGCCCAGGGTCACACAGTGAGTAGGTGTTGATTAGACAGAGAATTAGAGCCCAGATCTTACTACAGAGCCGTGTTCTTAGACACTGGACTATCCTGCCACCCAGCAGGGTTTGTGGCCAGGTCAGAAGATGAGATGCTCGTAACTCTTCAGCCCTGCCAGGGCCCCGTGGATGAATGGCTCTGGGAGCCGACTTAGAAATGACAGAGAGCCCTGGCTGGTGTGGCTCAGCTGCTTGGGTATCATACCGAGCACCAAAAACATTGCTGGTTGGACTCCCAGTCAGGCACATGCCTGGGTCACAGGCTCAATCCCCAGTGCAGGGCTTGTGGGAGGCAGCTGATCGATGTTTCTCTCTCCCTCTCCCTTTCTCTCTCTCTAGAAATCAATTGTAAAAATCTTTTAAAAAAAGAAATAACAGAAAGAATTATACACCTGAAACCTATATCATTTTATTAACCAATGTCACCCCAATAAATTCCATTTTTAAGAAATCAATAGAAAGAACGAACAGATAGATGGGCGGAGAGATAAAACCCTACACAGGGACCCACAATGTATACACATATATTCCCCTGCCTTTCCCCCCCACTTTAAAAGCTACACTATTCAAAGACAAGTGAAATGAATATTTTAAGAAGCACATAAGAAAACCCGAATTATCCTATGTTGCCTCACTCACCTGAACAAAAGACCACCTGTCGAGGTTTTGGTGCGTTTCCTCCCATTTTTTTCTAAGCACAAGCGTGGGGATTTGTATGTGGCTGTGGTTATTGATATTAAGTGAAAGGTTGGATCTTGTTTCTCTTTTGCTGAATAGAATGACAAGATCATTGATCAGAGAATTCGACAGTCTGCGTAAAGATGATGTTCTAGCAGCTGTTTAATGTGCCGCTGGGGGGACGTTCCCTTGCTCACCGAAGCCTTCTCAGCTGTCCTTTTTTATGTCTTTTCTGTTTCAAATAACACTGGACGAATGTCGTGTTTGAGACTACTTTCTTAGAATGGATTCCCAAGAGTAGAAGGACTGGGTCGGGGGGATGGATATTTTATGGCTCTCGATAAATATTGTCAAATTGCTTTCCCAAAGGACTGGACCAGTTTGCAATGTCACCAGCCACGTTTGACAGCGCCAGTCTCACCATGCCCACAGCAACACTGGGTATTCTATGTTTTTTTAAAAATATACATATGTATATACGTATGTGTACATATAATGTACTAACTTGGCAAAAACGCTCTATTATTAATGTCTCAGTTTGCATTTCTTGGAGTGCTAATGCAGTTTAACATTTTATAATCGTCTGTTAAGCAATTGTGTATTCCTTTTGGTGACTTGTCCATGTCCTCCATGTCCTTTGTCATTTTTCTTTTTGGTTTTTTTTTTGTTGTTGTTTTTTTCTTAATCCCTTCACTTTTTTCACCCAGTCCCCCAACCTTCCTCCCCTCTGACAGCTGCCAGTCTGTTCTCTATCTATGAGCCTGTTTCTGTTTCAGTTTTTCAGTTTATTTTGTTCACTCGTTTCCACACATGAGTGAGATCATGTGGTATTAGTCTTTCTCTGACTGGCTTATTTCGCTCAGCATAATGCCCTCCCAGTCCATCCCCGCTGTTGCAAAGGGTAAGATTTCCATCTTTTTTACGGCCGAGTAATATTCCACTGTGTAACTGTGCCCCAGCTTTTTTATCCACTCATCTGCTGATGGGCGCTTGGGCTGCTTCCAGGTCGTGGCTGCTATAAGTACCGCCGCAGTGAACACAGGGGGGCATGTATTCTTTTGAATCAGTGTTTCGGGTTTCATTGGATATATTCCCCGAAGTAGAATCCCTGGGTCCTAAAGCAGTTCCATCTTTAATTTTTTGAGAAAACCCCCTACTGCTTTCCCCAGTGGCTGCGCCAACCCGCCTTCCCACCCACAGCATACGGGGCTTCCCCTTTCTCCACATTCGCACCAGCATTTGTCGTTCGTCGATGTCTTGACGGTGGTCATTCTGACAGGCGTGAGGGCTTTGAGGTTTTTCTTTTGGAGTGTGCCGTCTCCTGTCTCACTGTAAGAGCCGGTTGGCATTCCCTCTGCACGTACGCGTACATGTGTTTGTTTTAAGTTCATGTTAATCGAACACTTGCTGTATACAAGGCACACTTGTATGTCCCGTTGGATCCTCCTAAAACACTGTGAGTCAAGCACTATGAGTATCCCCATTTTACAGAGGAGGAAACTGAGCCTCTGGGGACACAGAGAGGGTCCGGGGAAACCCCCCCAGAGGAAAATCACCTAAATGGAGACCTGGAGGATGCCTGGGAGGTAGCAGGGGGCAGAAAGTCCCAGGTGGAAGGAACAGAGGCAGGAAGAAACCAGGCTTGTTTGAGGGATACACGGGACTGTAGAGCTGGAGTCTAGTTGGGGGTGGAGTGGGGAGAATATCAAGAAGGGAGGTCGGGGAGGAGGGCTGGGCACCACGAGCAGCAGGGAGCTATGGAAGGGTTTAGGCAGGGGGCAGGGCGAAGTCAGAATGCGATTTTAGAAAGATCTCCGTTGGCTGCAAAAGCTGTGGCTGACATTCGGGGGTGAAGAGGCTTTGGAAGGGGGCTGTGGGTGCAGCTGGGAAGGGGAGCCCGGCTGGAATGGGACATGGGCTAGGGGACAGGGTTGGTAGGTTTGATGGGGGATAAAGAGAGGGAGGAGTCAGGAGGGCCCCCAGAGGCCCCGGGTGAGTCCTCCACTTGGTGTGTGTTGTGTCTTCAGTAGAGACAATGATAACTGCCCTGCCTATGGCTGGGCCGGGTGACCGAGGCCACATACAGAAGGCCTGGCCTCGAACATTCAACCATGATCCTAACCCCCCTTCTCCCATCTTCTTGCCTACAGGAAACCTCCGCAACTACAACCTGGCAACCCCGAACCTGACAGCTCCCAGCCTTACACCCCCACAGCTAGCCACCCCAAATCTACAGCAGTTTTTCCCCCAGGCCACTCAGCAGTCCCTGCTGGGCCCCCCTCCTGTCAGGGTCCCCATAAACCCCTCCAAGCTCATTTCAGGGCGGAACCCCCAGAAACAGGCCCGGACACCCTCCTCCACCACCCCGGATCGCAAGGTGAGTGGTGGCTGGGGTGGAGCAGGTGGGGTGTCAGCCCGGCTCCCCACTCTGGCTCACACTGGGCCTTTGGCCCTCTCTCTGCCTCAGTTTCTTCATCTGTAAAATGAGCAGGCGGTAAGTTGGACTTGTGTCGTGTTTCCCAAACTTCAGATGTTCCCGAGCCCCTGAGGTGACCCTTTGCCATGTCCAAATACCCCCTGTGTTATTATTGACCTGAAGTTTCCCTTTTTTTAAAAATTGAGGTATAATTGACATGTAACGCCATATGAGTTGTGGGAGTACTCTAACGGTTCTCCTTAAAATCAGCACTGCCTGATGGAAATGAAATGCAAGCCATATGTATAATTTAATTTTTTCTAGTAGTCACATCAACAGAGTGAAACGAAACAGGTGGGATTAATTTTAGTCTTATGTTTATTTAACCCAATATATCAAAAATTTATCATTCCAATATGTAGTCAATATAAAAAAATGAGCGAGGCATTTTTCATTCCTTTTTGGTTTTTTTTTGGTACCAAGTCTTTAAAATCTGATGTGTATTTTATACGGAAATCTCAACGTGGCTTGCCACATTTCAAGTACTCAAAAGCCACTCACCCGTGGCTAATGGCTCCTGTCTGGGATAACACAGCTTTTAGCTTCTTCTCAGTTATTGATTGATTGATTGATTGGTTTTAGAGAGAGAGGAAAGGAGAGGGAGAGAGAAACATCGATTTGTTGTTCCACTTATTTACGATTCTTGTATGTGCCTGGACCGGGAATCGAACCTGCAACCTTCCGGTGCACAGGCGGGTGCTCCAACCAGCTGAGCCACATCAGCCAGGGCCACTACCTAAAATTTCAAAAACAGTGTAAAAGAAAGGTAATTGGGGTGAAATCATAGTATAAAATCCTGGGCACTACACGCCATCAGAAGGTTTGGAGCTGGTGCCCTGCTCCTTCCTGTCTGCTAGGTGGTAAAAGCACAAAGGGAAGGACCCCTGACGTGAGCAAAAAGACTCGAAGAGGCTTGCAAAGGGCGTAACATGCTCCCTGAGACTGTCCTGTCCCTGAATGTCATGGCAGCTCCTCACACCACGCTCCTCAGAGAGCATTCTGGGGTGGGGGCAGCACCCACTTTCTGCTTGCTCTGGGGCAGCCCCCATCTAGAGGTGAAGCCTGTCCCTCCAGAGAGGGGTCTGACCTTCCAGTGGGCCTCTCCTCACCTGGTCTTGTCTGTGATCACTGCATTTTACATATGGGGAAACTGAGGCTCAGAGTAGCGTGGAGGTTGCTCTGGGCTGCCCAGCTTTTGAGATTGACCCAGAGCTGGGCCTCCTGACTTGAATGCCAGTGTTATGCAGGGTGGTTTCTGAAGGGCATGGAGTCCTGATGTGGTACATGGTCCAGCTCAGTACTGGTTCCTTGGGCTTCGCAGGAGGGAGGGAGGCTATAGGTGGGCTCCCGGGGCTTCCTGGGCCGAGCGGGGAGCTGGGACCAGCTGCAGCCATGCATTTATTTAGCTAACATCTGTAAGTCCCTACAGTGGACTCAATGGTCTGGCCCTTTTGGAGGTCTTGGGCTGGGAAGGAGGGTGGGCTGGGGGTGAGACATTAATGTAGATAATTTTCCCACCAATTAAGACTGTGGGAAGTGCCACAATAGGGTAGCCCAGGGCCCTCTGGGGACCTGTGCTATGGGTTTGGACCTACTCTGGGGTCAGGAGGGCTTCCTGTAAGAAGTGCCTTTGAGGCTCTGAGTGAAGGCCTGGGTCTTTGGGGAACCAGTGAGAAGGCCAGTGTGGATGTAGAGAGGGGAAGGGGGCAACTGGGGAGAGCTGAGGCTGGAGGGGTGGGTGTGGGGGCAGAGGTCATTGTGTGTAGGAGGTGGGAGAGGTAGTGTCGGGCTCGGGTGAGACAGAGTAAGTGCTCCGGGCCTTGAGAAGTCACAGGAGGGCTTCAGCCTGGAAGAGACCAGACATGACCTGGTTTGCATTTGAGAAGGGTCCCTCGAGAGGGCTGCTTCGTGGAGAAGAGGGTGGGGAAGTCGGAGGCAGCACTGTGGCCAGGAGAGGGCTCATGTCCCCCAAACCTGGGTTTACTCGACAGGCAGCTAGATGGAGCTCCCTAGATGCAATTCCCGGGGTGTCTAAGATCATCTCTTGGCAGCTCTGAGGCGGACTGTTGCATGTCTTCCTCTCCTGGGGAGGACTGCTGCAGCCGCTCTCGGGCAAGGATGTCTTTACGAGGGTGGGTGGTGGATGTCAGGAATGGTTTCTGAAAGGAAGCAGGATTCTTCTTCTCAGACGATGCCCGAGGGAGACCAGGCGGACCCCCCAGAGGGGTCTGAGGAAACTGCAGAGTCTCGAGTGGACACACCAGGTGAGTGAGGCTGCTGGCCCTTCAGAGGGGACGTGGGCCAGGGCAAATGGATGAAGGGTTAGTAATGGAGGCAGATCTGGGAGGCAGGATCTTGGGGGGGATGAGCCCAGGCCTTATCTCCCAGAGATTGTTTGTGTTCTACCTGCTCCTGGCAGTCATTCATCTCCCCTATGTTCTAGACCAGGATTCCCCACCCTGCCCAGATGACCTTGCTAAGGAGAAACGCACGTCAGCGCCTGAGCCAGAGCCCTGTGAGGCATCTGAGCCACCAGCTAAAAGGTCAAGGAGGTAACTGATGCTGAAACCATGCTGGGGCCCCGGAGCCTGCAAAGGCAGGCGGTGGGTGTAGGTAAGGGCAGGACCTTTCAGGGGAGCTGGAGCGAGGAAAGGGCGTTGGCCTCTGGCTTGGAGGGAGGTCATACCTAATTCTGCACCTCACCTGGGAAGGCCCCAGGCCAGACAGACACTGGTGTCTTCACTGTGACTGAACCACCTGGAGGCAGACGAGGTAGCCAGGTTGGAGGGGTGAAGGTGTGCATCTGGGACCTCAGGGTGGGCAGAAGGTGGGTGGCTTTACAGGGCCTTGGATGCATCTTAGCAAGTTGTAGGAGGTAGGAGCAAGTGATCCTGTCAGTTTATTTAGGTGAAACGAGCGCTAAGAGCCAAAGGGGCTTGCTCAAGTGCCCGTCTTGAATGTGGTGGAGCGATGATTGGAACCTGGGTCTTAGCCTTTCTAGGGAGCCCCTTACGGCCAACTGGAAGACATGCATTTGATCTCCTTTTGATTCTTTCTAGCTCAGAGGAGCCCACAGAGAAGGGACCCCCAGGGCAGCTGCAGGCGAAGGTCCATCCACAGGCCCGGATGACAGCACCAAAACAGACCCAGACACCCGAGCTGCTGCATGATCCACTGGAAGCCCGAGTGCTGCCACGATTCCAGCCACGGGTTCTGCAGATCCAGGCCCAAGTGCAGCCACAGACTCAGCCACAGATGCCACCAGTGGACTCCCAGGTGCAGCCAAAGCTGCAGAAGCAGGCACAGACACAGACCTCTCCAGAGCACTTAGTGCCGCAGCAGGTGCAGCCAAAGCTGCAGAAGGAAGCAGAGCCACAGAAGCAGGTGCAGCCACAGGTGCAGCCACAGGCACATTTACAGCCCCCAAGGCAGGTGCAGCCACAGCTGCAGAAGCAGGCACAGACGCAGACATATTCACAGGTCTCAGAAGGAACACAGCCCAGGAGCCAGCCAGTGGAGCAGCCACCGGAGCAACCTCCAGTGCAGTTGCCAGTACAGTCACCAGACCAGCCCCAGGGACAGCCTCAGCCCCAGCCCCAGCCCCAGGTGCCGGCATCAGAGCAAGCGCCAGCTCCGGTTCATTCCACTCTGCTGGAGACACCGCCCAGTATAGCAGAAGCTGAAACAGGTAAGTGAGCGCTGGCTCCCAGCCAGCCAGGTGATGGGACGGCTCTGCCCGGGCCCCTCTTTCCTCCTCTGTCACTGTCCAGCCCTGACCAGGTGCTGCCTGGGAGCAAGGGTTGGACTGAAAACTGGGGCTTGGGGCCATTCACACCAGAGGCTTCAAGGCCTTGGCTGTGAGCACAGAAGGTGGCCCTTGGTCCCAGGTCCCTCTGGGTCAGGTGGAGGTGGACCCTGGGAAACAGCACACCTGTCATTCCAGGCCTGGAGGAGGCCTCGCCGGAGCCAGTGGGCGCCCAGGTCAGCATGGAGGAGAGCCAGGAGGAGCTGACCAGTGGCCTGGACGTGGGAGAATGTGAAAAAAGAGCAAGAGAGATGCTCAGGGTGGGTAGAGAGGCTATGATAGTAGCATGAGGACCACAGTGCCCAGCGGTAGGGGGCCTCTTTCTATCCCAGCTCCCCTCAGTGCCCCCTCGTTTTTCCCCACCTGGGACATGTGACTGGAGCCCTGCACCTGGGCTTGTGGGCAGGCCAGAGCAGGTCTGACAGTGGCTCATCAACTCACGATGTCCCGTTGCCATCACACACCTTCGCTCTGAAGATCTGATGGTACTTTGGTAACGAGAGTCCCTTCCAGCCATCTCATCCCAAAACTAGAGCCCCTAGTCCCATCACACGGGTAACGTTGCTCTTTGGAGAGAGTAGAGTGGCAGCCCCTGCCAGGGGTTTGGGCCACAGCCCTGCTTCTCAGTGGATTGTGGCCAAACCCATTCCCTTCTCTGTGTCTCAATTTCTCCATCTGTCATGTGTGTGGGAGTGGGTGGGTGGACTTTAGATTTAGGGGGGCTGGCTGTGTGAGCTAGGGCAATCATTGCACAGCCGAGAGCCTCGGTTTCCCATCTGTGAAGGGGGCTGTCAGGAGAGCCGGAGGAGACAGTGTNCGCACAGCCGAGAGCTTCGGTTCCCCACCTGTGAAGGGGGCTGTCAGGAGAGCCGGAGGAGACAGTGTTCGTGGGTATTTAACACTGGGGCTGGCCCACCATCGGCGCCCAGCCGGTGGTAGCTCTGCTTCTGCTCCTGGTGCAGGTGTGGGGTGCCGGGGGCTCCCTGAAGGTTACCATCCTGCAGAGCAGCGACAGCCGGGCCTTTAGCACTGTATCCCTCCCACCTGGGCCACATTCCAGTGACTCCACCTCCGCCGCCCCTGCCGCGACCACTGACGCCCCCCCTAAGCCTGCCCTGCAGTTCTTCTGCTACATCTGCAGGGCCAGCTGCTGCAGCCAGCAGGTACCGCCTCCCGGGCCCTGGGCACCGGGTGGGTCGAGCGGAGGGTTTGTGTGGGATGCCCAGCCTGCCCGGTTCACAGCTGCCTAAGTGGCCACCTGGGGCCCCGTGAGCCCTACCCCTGGCGGCTGTGCATTGCTTATAGCACATTTTCTGACCAGCTCCGAAGGCAGGACTTTATAGTCAGGCAGAGCTGGCTCGAATCGGCCCTGACCAGCTGTGTGGACCTCAGAAGGTGAATTCACCCTTTGTGTCTCAGTTTCCTCATGCGTCAGGTGGAGAAACATTTAGAACCCATCGCATCGGCTGGTTCTAAGGATTCAGCAACTAGACATTGAAGTCATGAGCCCCAGGCCCGGCCCGGAGCGAGCGTAGAATTGATAACTGCATTATACGCGTACTATTATCCCTGGTGCTCTTGCTACCCCGTCACTCTGAGCCTCACCTGAGCAGAGCCAGGGGACCTGAACGTTCACCAGATGCCCCCTGACCTTTGAGGCACTCACACTGGCTCCAGGAGAAGCAGAAACTCTGGCTGCTGTGTGCTCACTCTGTGCCTCAGTTTACCACCCTTCTCTGGCCCACCCTGGGTTGTTGTAAGAGAAATGGCCTCACGGCGGTCCTGGGGCGGCCACAAAGCTGAGGTTGGAGGCCTCCTCCCTGGGCCCCGGCCCTGACCTCCTTCTGGGGTTCAGTCCTCACGCCCTCCCCTCCCTCCTCCGTGTTGTAGGAGTTCCAGGAACACATGCTGGGGGCCCTGCACCAGCAGCGGCTCGGGGAGATCCAGCACATGAGTCAAGCCTGCCTCCTGTCCCTGCTGCCTGTGCCCCGGGACGTCCTGGAGAGAGAGGACCAGTAAGTGCGGGATCTCGGAGGCCCCATCCTGGGGGGTGCGCAGTCTCACGGGCCATCAAAAGGTGACCTAGGCCCAGCCAGGGTGGCTCAGTGGTTGAGCATCCACCTATGAACCTGGAGGTCGTGGTGTGATTCCCGGTCGGGGCACATGCCCGGCTTGCAGGCTCCATCCCCAGTCGGGGGCGTGCGGGAGGCAGCCGATCAGTGACTCTCATCATTGAGGTTTCTATCTTCCCTCTCCCTTCCTCTCTCTGAAATCAATAAAAACATTTAAAAAAGTAATAAATAGGAGAGTGGTGGGAACGTATAACGTAGAAACGTGCGTGAGATGCAGCGTTGAGTCAGGACAGGGTTCCGGGTTGCATTTGGAGAATGAGCTTGACGATGCCAACGTAGATCCCGTGACGCAGCACTGAGCGGATGTCGCCGAGGCCGTTAACACGCTTCGGGCGTGGGGAGGACTGTTGGACTGTCTCCTGATGACACCTCCCCTGGAATCCTGACTTGGCCCCCTGAGGCCGTGCAGAACACGGCTGCCTTGTCCCTCCTTCACCCAACGGTCAGGAGCTCTGGGCCCGCCCCGGGCGAGGCCTTGGCGATTCTGGGATGGAGTCCCGGCCCCCAGCGCTCACCGAAGCCCAGTGCCGCGTGTGTGTGTGAGCGTGTGTGAGAAGGGAGCGGTCCTGCCAATTCAGCGTGGACAGTGCTGTGGGAGTGGCACTTTGGGGCCTCAGACAGGGGGCCTGGCTTCCTGGGATGGGGACAGGTCCAGGAGTGGGGGGAGGGGAAAGAGCAGCTCTGGGGACCACGGGGCCTTTAACCTGAAGGGTAAAGAGAAGTCCCCAGGGCCAGGCGTCCTCAGTTATGTCACTGTCCTGGTGACCCTCCAGCATCCCAAACGCTTCTAAATCTCATTTCTCCCCGACGTCTCCTGGTTATTTATTTTTCCCCAGAAGGAGTGAAAGGGGGAGAGAGAGAAACATGGATGTGAGAGAGACACATCGAGTGGTCGCCTCCCACACGAGCCCGGTCAGGCCGGGGATGGAGCCTGCAACCGAGGTATGTGCCCTTGGCCGGAGTTGAACCCGGGACCCTTCGGTCCTTGGGCCGACGCTCTAACCGCTGAGCCGCACCGGCCAGGGCTCCCAGCTCTTCTTACGTAAGTATTCTTCCAGAGGAAGCTCAGAGCCTTTTTGTTAAGTTTCAAAAAAAAAAAA